ATTCAGATGGTTCCTACCGGGCTTCCCACAAAACATTCCAGCAGGTTCTTCGCTGGTACACTTGTACTCTTCTGCTCCCATCAGGTGACTTGTGTTCGTTCATATAGAGTCAGCCATGTTCCCAAACCTGTTTACGCCAGGTGCTTTGTAATTACATAAGCTAGTCAAATAATACACCAACCCATGAAATGAGCACACACACACACACAAAAAGAGTAGCTGTTAGTTGTTTCTACAAAAATGAAGCTCAATGCTTTGGAAAGATTCAATAAAGGCAAGTAGCCAAGGGAAAAAAACTGCTGGCAAATTAGGTGTGGATGAGACAACTGTAAATGATTAGGGGCAAAAATAATAAAAATCTAGAATTAGTCTGTACTCAGATTGCCTTGCAAATGTCTTTAAATTCTCACTCCACTTTAAAGGAACCCAAATGGAAACCTTAGATAATGTTTGTGGGTGCGGTTTGTGCAAGAAAGACAATCCGGGGTCCATGCTCAAAGCAAAGTAATCGGCCTCACATCAAAAAATTGGTGAGTGAACGTACATGTGTTTTAAGTTAAAAGTAAACTGTTAAAGGTGTGTGTGTGTGGGTGTGTGTATATATCATTTGTATGATTTTTCTGCTTTAACCTTCTTTGATAATCAACTAATGAGCCTGATCAGAAAAGAAAATTTTCAATTTTATTTCTTTTACATAAAGGATAATCATTCAACAAATATTTATTGAGCATCAGCTGGGTAGTGGTTTCAATGTGGGCTACACAAACTCTGTTTCTGCCTTAAAGTTTAATAATGATCCAAGCCTGTCCTATTCTACTCCCCCTCCTCCTCACCCCTCCTCACCTCCTCTCCACTCCTCCTCCTCCTCCCCTCCTTCCCGTCCCCAACCTCTTCTTCTTCCACATCCTCTCCTCCTTTACCCCATTTCTTGGTCACTGGCTTAACCTCATGATCCTTCCCAATTATCACATACTTCTTTACCCATAAGGGGAATCTCAGCTTTTACTGATCAATCATGCCTCAAATATCACTACTGTGATCATGCATTCTCTTTCTTACACACACAAACACATTTTCCTCACCCACTTCTGTCTTCCTTTCTGTATTCGGGAACTTTTTCAGTTACCCCAAGAACAGCCAGCCACTTTTCTCTTATTTCCTCAATCCCTTTTGGTTGTATTTCTAAGCAAAGTAGCTGACAGGCGTTACAGTAATATTACTCTCCTGAAGTGTATATCAAGGAAAATAAAAGCCTTTAAGTTTCAAAAGACTAAAACCAGACACTTGACCTAGGGCCATCAACCTGTAAAACGCTTAAAATGATCCAGAACTCTCCATAAAACTCTATAAAAACCACCATCTAACCTTGTAATCTCTCTAATTACATCTGCATTTCTTCAAAAACTACCATTCAAAATAAGAATCACTGAATCAACTTTACTTACTGCCAATTTAACCAATTGTTGGGCATTTTCAATAGTTTTGTTTTTTTCTCTGTTCTCCTTTCAAACATAAAATATGTCAACTATATTAAAGTACTCCCCGAGACAAAGGAAGAATCCTGACCAAGCAGACTGGCTCTGAAGAGATTCTGTGGGCTAGCCGTGGTAGGGAGCCATCATTACTTGTTACAGGGAGAAAACTATGTTTCTTTCCACTCAGTCACTGAACAAACCCATAAAGATGTAACTGTGCATATCAAAAACAAAAAACAAAAAACCAAAAAAGTGCACCATTTGGAGCAAGTCTTTAAGAAAAATAAACATTTCTGATGACTTTGTACCGTTTCCTCTCTAACTTGGAACAGGTGACAAACATTCCTTAATCTAGCCTTGACAGACCCTTTGGCCCAAAAGGATTTTGCTTGCCCTGCATTTTGCATGGCGCCCAGAGTTTGTCCAAGGCTCAGGGACAGCCCACTAACCAGTTCCATCAAGAGTTAAAATCTTATACCTCCTCTGCTACTGGTTTAACTGTGATTCTTTTTTATTACTACAGACTCGGAGCAGGGCCGAGATACTCTTGCTACATGACTGCCCAGGGCTGCTCTGTCTCTTTCAATGAGGAAGAAGCTGGCTTTCTATTTCTCTGTGGCTTGGCAAAAACTGAGGAGGGATTTTTAAACTAAATCTCTGCATATGAGAATTGTGAATTCCCTTAAATGCTTTTTTCCTCTCAGGGATTTTCTTGGCAGCTAACTTCTAATTTTGACCTGTTTTCCTGATAGGTAGAGAAATCCTCCAGCTTTTCCAATTGATCTTTATGCATTTGGTTGCCTTGATAAATATTAAAAAGCTCTTAATATGTGTGTGTATGTGTGTGTGTGTGTGTGTGTGTGTGTCTCATCTACCACTTTTATCAAAGACCTCTTACCCTTAAAATAACCATAGCCCTTTTCCCCAGAACATTTTGAAAAACACTGAAACAAAAGATACTCTAGTTTCAAATTTTTTTCCAGGTTAAAATATATTTACATGGCTCTAGAAACAGAATGCAAAATAGTTTATAAGTACCTGGCTTATGAAGAAGACCTGATGGAAATCTCCAGCTGAGCTCTCCCAAAAAATCACCTGTCCTCATAACTCACATATGCTTTCCCCATGCCTTACAGCAGAACTCAGGGGAGACGTCCTGCTGAGCAGCTCTGTTTAAACAACCCCTTAACAGGCCCCTGATGCTGGAGGTCCGTCAAGATTCTGGAGTTTTGCTGCAAGGGTAGCAAGGGGGCATCTAGCTTTCAACTCCTCCCACCCTGCTCATTTCTAACCTATGGGAAATTCCTCTGAAATAATGCACAGTCTGGAGGTGAGCCCACCAGGAGCCCCTCAAAGGGACATGGCCTCCACACCACTGGTCATTACAGGAGGTTAACTGCTTACAGGGCCATCAATTAAAATCCCAAGACGTCAAGAAAAAACTCACAAAGTGCCTTGCAAAAGGGACTTCTCCCAACAATACCATTCCCATGCAGACTCGGTGGCCACAATTTTGAGGGTCCTCAGTACTTTTAGGGGCTTTTCTGATGGCAGCCAGACTTTATACTCACTTGTTTATCACACAGTAAACCCATCTTTGGCCATCTGCTGCTCTTTTCAATCCAGTTCAATATGTGACTGTGACCTCCACTTCTCAAATGTCCCCACTAGATCCTCGCCGAGGCTATGGTCCTGAAGTGACCCAGTGGTCCAGCTGCTCTGGTTATACAGCAGTGTGATACAGCAGCCACAAAATGGATATGTACTTTTGTCTTGAAATACCTTTTAAACTATTTTTAAACCATGGTTTGAAAATGCACACAGGCTAAATTAGATTAGATGCCAATTATTAACCTTGGCCTGCCCTGTAAATGGCTGGATTGTGCAGAGATTTTCCCGACTTCTCTGACTGTTTTTGCCACGCCTGTGAATGTCATTGGTGAAGAAGGCTGTACCTCTGCACGGGTCTGTGGATGTCAGGCCCACACACGTCTGTTCGTGTAAAATGATACAAGCAACTATAGACTGCAGCTCACACACACACACTACACACCCAGTTAAATGCCAGGCGTGGGCCTAAGAGATCTGCCTGGAAAATGCAAGGGCCCCGGTTGGGCAACCACCATAATAACATTCTATAGACCATTTCACTTTTTATTGTAAGTTCTGGGCATTTGGGGCTAATGTATAGTTTGGTGGGGGAGGGGGGGCTACAAGATATCATTAGTGATTCAACTCTAAAACAGAAAGCTCTTCCTTCCACTCTTTTAAGATGCTGAGTCAATTAATTTAAATGCTATCCTGAGATTGCCAAGATGAGCTTCCTCGAAGAACTGTTACTCATTGCAATTACTTACCTGTGTGGATCAAGATTTTCTTGATAGTATGCAGCTAAGACAAGTGTAAAGCCAACCAAACACTGAGGCTGTTGTACCAGCCATCAGCCATAAATCCTGATCTCAAATTCTGGTGTTTATCCAAACAGATCCATCGATCTCACCATGTGTAAATATTACAAACATGAACTTAATGAATAAATGTGTCTTAATAAAATACTGCATTGGCTATGTTATGTATTGAGATTTTACATAGGATTTTGACTAGAGAATTTTGAAAAGGATATATCAGCTTAAAGAACATTTTAAAAAAAGCCTCAATGACAGACAGGGGTTACAGTTCCCGAATACAGAGCCACTTTTCTGACTCTGCACTAAAGGAAGGTGGCACACAAGGTTAAAAACTCCAAACGCTAGTTTTTCGTTCTACAAAGTAAAGATACTATTGTTTGTTCTACCCACCTCACATGGTTGATATCAGGATTAAAAAAAATTGCAGGTGAAAGTCATAAATGGTCTGAGCAGAAGGGAATAGAGAGGTCACCTATTAAATCAGCAGTTCTCAACCTGTGGGTCGCAACCCCTTTGGAGGTCGAATGACCCTTTCACAGGGGATCGCTGGGTACTCGTATGTGGGCGTATCTTGCATGTGGGCCTGGAGACGGATAGAGGAGCGGTGTCTCGGTTCCTAAGACCATTGAAAATATGTGTTTTCCTATAGTCTTAGGCAAACCCTGTGAAAGGTTGAGAACTGCTGTTTTAAATAAACCAGATCAATTAAGTCAAAACCTGTGGGGATGCAGTCAGAGGACAATATTTTTCAAGTTTTCCAGATAACTACCTATTATGCAACCATGATATCTAGACACTGATTCAGTAACACCTTTATTTTTTATTAATCTGAGACTTTAAGATTTTAAAAAATATTTTAATTAAGAAAATTATAAAATAGGAGGGCACAGCTTAGAACCTAAGCCACTTGAATCACAGTCCAAGTACCTGTCACCACAACACACAGCCCCTGAGGTCTCGGTGCCCTTCTAAATAGCACGTTTATCACAAATATGTACATAGCATATCAACAATATCAGTGGGATGCACACCCTCAAAGCTAGTTACTATAAGAAACTATATAATAAAACTCAAATACGGAGTTTCTTACTCTCTTTTTAAAAGGTTCTGTACTTACCTGAGAGACCCCATGAAATGGGAAACCATGATGCTTCGGGTCCAGGAAAAAGCAAGGGCTCCTCAGGTATGCTGCCAATTTTCTGCAGGTGGAAGTGGTGGTCAAACTCCTACAGAAGGAACAACAATGCTGTTTTTAGCATGGTTTGCTGAGGAAGATTCTACAGCCGGAGATTCTAGAGCCTACGTAGGCAAATGAAACTGGAAGTGAACAAATGGAAGACATTAAAACAAAAATGCCACTGACCAGTTGTGGTTACCAGATTTCCCAGCTGAAGTCTGATTATGTATGGACATGAGGTACCAAATTTATGGGACACTCAGCACAGTGACTAGTCCACAAAGATGTTCAATAAGTAACTATCAATAGAATTATCTCAGACTCTGTGCTCAGAGCAAAGTCGGCCTTTGGTCAGCCTGCATAAGAAATTTAGCCCCATCTATTAAAAGCTACTTAATCATAGGAAAATCATTTTCCCTCTGTGTCTCGGTTTCCCCCACTGTACATTAGGGGTAAAAATACTGACTAGCAATAAAGGAAATGACATACTGATATACGCCACAACACGGATGAACCTTGAAAACACCATTAGAAGTGAAAGAGGCCAGACACAAAAGGATAAATATCGTATGATTCCATTTATAAGAAATGTCCAGAATAAGCAAATCTATTGAGACAGAAAGTACATTAGTGGTTGCCAGGGTCTGGGGGTGGAGTAGGGCTCATGGGAGGGTACAAGGTTTCCTCCTGGGGTGACAAAAATGTTCTCATATTAAATTGTGGTGATGGTTGCACACAGCCCTGTGAAAATACTAAAAGCCACTGAAATTCTACACCTTTAAATTGAAGTATGGTATGTGAATTATATCTCAACAAAACTTTTTAAATACTGCCTAAAGAACAACTGCAGGTTGTTGTGAAGATTAAATGAGTAGGCATTGAGTGCAGTGGGCATTGGCACAGAGTGACAATGAAAAGGAGCTTGGATGATACTGATGCCAGAAGAAGAGAAGCAACACTTAAAATGTGCTATCCCAGTAAAAACCGGAAGATAAAACCCCCTCACCTGCAAATACTATTTGATTCAGAAACCCTCACTCAACAGAATTTCTAAGCATTGTCAAGGGAGCCAATAGTTTCAAAGTTTATAAATAGCCTCAGAAAGCCCAGGATGGAAGGTTTGGCTAGAATGTGAGGGAACTTGGAAAGCAACAGCATGGTCAGCTTCCTCTCCTCCAACACCTCCTTTCAGAGAAAGACAAATACATGAAGCAAGGTTTCCGGGTGTGCCCAGGGGTCCCCTCTACTAAAGCCAGAGTTTTCCAAAATCACTGGATTCTGAATTCTTCCCAGGACTTCGCGTCTTCCTCTCTCTAGAAAGGGAGGGTTGCAAGATAAGTTACAAGGACTTAAGAAAAGACAGTCATGAGAACCATAAAATTCCATTTGTAGGAGAAAATAATCAAGATTTTTAAAGTTACCACCAGCCCTTTCTTAGGGTTATTAAGAAAGTAAAGCCTCTTAACTGTAATCACCCCTAATTAGCCATCAGCAACTCATGAAATTACGCATGGCACTGAAGACCCTTAAATTCCTGGGTCTCAGCCAGATGTTACACTGAGATCCACCAGGAAGAAAGCCAACAAGTGCAAACTGGAACAGTTAAAGCTCCTCTGAATCCAAGGCGCGGTCTTGCTCTTGGCTGGGGAGCAGGTATGTGCGAAAATGGGGTTTTACTTGGAAGACAGGATTTGACTTGGGAGTCAGATGAAACCTTTGCCAAGCTCCTGATGATGGTCAACTAAGTCAATGATTATTTGCTCAGGATGTGCAGTGCTCGGGTCCTCTCCAAGGGATGCAAGAGAAGGATGAGTCAATGCAGGGTCTCGCTTTACAATCTAGCTTAGGTGGAGAAGACATAGGGACATGGAGTTGTCTGGGGAAAGGACAGTGGTATCCAGAACAGCATAGGGTAAATGTGGTGACATAGAGACCCTATACGAAACACGCTAGTTCAGGAGGAGAATCACTGTGGAGGGCTGGTCCGGCATCAGCAAGGAAGATGGGACCAAAACTGAGCCCTTGGCCTACGCGGGTTACAAGCGAACAATCTAGGGCAGTTGGTAAGAGTGTACACACTGTAACCTGAAAGACCTGGGTGTGAGGCAACGTCCCCATTTATTAACTTGGCAATTAACCCTTTGTCTTTCAATTTCCTCATCTGTAAGATGGGGGTATTGTTTGTAACTACCTCATAGGGGTGTTGTGTTAAATACTTATTGAAACTGCATGACCTCACAACTCAACACACACACACACACACACACACACACACACACACACACACAGCAGGCATGGTCCTTACCCTCAAGAAACTTACAGTCTGGATGCTGGAGGGCTATATACTTTAAACCAGGGGTTGGCAAACTTTTGAGATGGAAGAGCCGCCAGGGGTCAGCAAACTGTGGCTCATGAGCCACACGCTCCTTGGGTACGTACATGTGACTCTGAAGTAAAATTGAAAAAAAATAAAACTATCATAGTTTAATTTATAAAATTTTTAAAAGATATTATTCACATAATGGTGATTATGTAAAAATATATTTATGGCTCTCAAATAATTTTTAAATTTTTGGGGTCAGGATTGGCTCTTCCAGGGGTCGGCAAACTTTTGAGATGGAATGTACCCAAAGAGCCACATTTGGCTTGCGAGCCGCAGTTTGCCGACCCCTGCTTTAAACAAACTGAAACCTAAATAAGTATAAAAATCAAACTGTGATAAGAGCCATGAAAGAAAGTCCAAGGTGCCTAACAAAGCATACTGGGTAGAGGTCAGAGAAAGTCCCTCTGAGGAAGTGACCTTCACACTGGGGCTTGAGGGGTGAGTAGGAGTCAGCCAGGGAAAGGGGGTGTGGGGACATCCCAGGGGGAGGCAATCTCCAGTGTAAACTCATGTGAGGAACTGGGAGGAAGAAGGAAGTAGGGTGGCGGGAACTTGGTGATCCCAAGAGAATGTGAGAAGAGCTGACTCCATATTTACCAAAATATGGTAAATGAACGGCTGAGGGGGACAGGGAAAGAGAGGGTCAAAGATGACTCCTTCCAGATGTCTGATGGTCGGAGGCAGCAAAAGGAGGTTCTAACAGAGCTTTCTCGGTTTCACCAGGGAAAGAAGGGCAACGGGGAGGGGAGAGGGTGTGATGTAAAGCAGTGGTTCCAAATCTGACAAGAAGGCAATCAGAAAAATATCTTAACTTATCAAAACAATTTGAAAATAAATTTACAACCACTGCTTACAACTGTGAACCTTGTCTGCTACATGTATTTTCCTTTCAGATATTGGCTGATAATAGAATGAAGCCATCATGATTAGCCTATCATTTTAAAATATGTTTTCTTTCATCTTTAGCTCACCCTTTAAAGATTTATGTTTTGAATGTATGTTTTATGTGCTCACATAATACATTGATACATTAAAAAAAATAGCCAAATATACACTGGAGTTGTCCACTCAAACGTTTTTTACTGATGGGGTGTGCAATCAAAAAAAAATTTTGGAGGCCATTGCTCTAGAATGTTTTTTTAACCAACTTCTTGTCAGATGTGATCAGTCAGTTTTTATTTTTCATGACATGGTTGTCCTGGGAGAGCTTGTACCATCTCTGCCATTTCCTCAGTGTTCATTTGTGTTTCCATGATCAGTATTGTGTTAAATTAGCTCTGCTTTTCAAACTGTGGGTCATGACCCATTAGTCCATCATGAAATCAATTTCATGGGTCATGACCTGCACTTTTTTTAATGAAATAGAAAAGACTGAAAAAGAAGAGAACATACCAGTGTTTATCACACATAATAAGGGTAGGTATTTCTTTTTTGTTTTTATTAGTTTCAGGTGTACAAAGCCACATAATAGTTAGACATTATACCCCTCACAAAGTGATAACCCCCCCAATCTACTATCCCTCTGACATCGTATATAGCTGTTACAATTCCATTGATTCTATTCCCTATGCTGTGCTCCACATCCCGTGACTCTGTGTGTGTGTGTGTGTGTGTGTGTGTGTGTGTGTGTGTGTGTGTGTATGCTAGGAATGTGGAGTACAGCACTTCATTGATTGTTGGTCAGGCATCTACACAGTCAATGAAGTGATCCCCCTGATAAGTCCAGTGCCCATCTGGCACCCTACATTATCTTTATAACATTATTGATTATATTCCCCATACTGTATTTCATATCCCCATGATTCTATTGTGACTACTAGTTTGCACTTTCTGATCCCTTCACCATCTCCCCCATCCCCACTCACCTCCCATCTCCACTCCCCTCCCATCTAAAAACCATCAGGTTTTTTTTCTCATGTCTCTGAGTCTGTGTCTGTTTTGTTTGCTCATTTATTCTGTTCTTTAAATTCCACATATGAGATCATATGGTATTCGTCTTTCTCAGTCTGACTTATTTCACTTAGCATAATATTCTCTAGGTTCATCCATGTTGTTGCAAATGGTAAGATTTTGGAGGTTTTTTATGGTCTAGTAATACTCCATTGTATAAATGTACCACAGAATCTTTATCCAATCATCTATTGATGGGCATTTCGGTTGTTTCCATATCTTGGCTATTGTGATTTCTTAACTGTGACTCAGTCAGAAACATTTATTGTAAAAGCCCTGGCTCTGGAACCCAGAAGGCAGTGAAGGATTCTAACTGTGATTGGGGGGATAAAATCCTGAAGATAAGCAAAGCCATGTTATCCAAGCCCCTGAAAAGTGACACCAAGAGAATTTTTAATGAGATAGGCAAGAAAGGGCCATTGTAGGTTCTGGAGCAGGGAGGGAACTGATGAAAGTACGTTTTCCCAAAAATCCATTTGGTAACAGTGCATGGAGCGAGCAGGCTGAGTAAACATGCTATCTATGGAGTTGAGTCCGCATTTGTGGTTTGCTCCTGTTGATTTATAATCTTTCTTGACAGTGAACAAAAAACCTAACAGCCTAATTTCTATTAGAACATGTGCTCCCTGGGGGATGGAAACCTCAGCTTCTCTCCTTTCCACAAAGATCCTACAGCAAGGCTAACGAGTCACCTGATTTTGTTCAGGCCGGAGTCA